CTCTGAACCACTTTCTTCCACTAGAAGAGAAAGCTCTCTAGTTACCTGAAAACATTTGCTAATTTAAACTTTTACAATGGATAACTGATGAGGCTGACTGCTAATCTTGTTTCAAAACTAGTTTTTACTTCAAAATTGTGCTGTAAGGGTTAGTTTATAGAGAACCTGCCTGGCATTCACAATTTCCTAGCAATGTAAAGACACACAAACATGCTGTCAGGCTAGGGGTGTAGCTTAGGATCTAGCCCTGGTTCCCAGAGGTGCCCAGACCTTCCATGAAGGCTTCATAGTAAAGGACTTTTTTCTTTGTATTTGAAACAGGGTCTCATTATGTAGCTAAGATTGACTTTATATGTATTTATTTATTTATTTGTCGGTCCTGGGGGCTGAACTCTGGGCCTGGGTGCTGTCCCTTAGCTTTTCAGCTCAAGGCTAGCTCCCTACCACAGCACTACTTCTGGCTTTTTTCTGCTTATGTGGTACTGAGGACCTCATGCATGCGAGGCAAGCATGAGCCAACTGAGCCAACTTCCCAGCCCCTAAGGTTGACTTTAAACTTGAGATACCTCTGCCTGGGACTTCTGAGGGCTAGGATTATAGAGGTGGGTCACTATACAGACCATAGAAAAGGCCTTTGTCCGTATGAGGGCAGGGTTAGAGTAGCTATTAGGCTGCAGTCTTCATGGTGCTGTGTATTTCGTGTACTTTTGTACAAACCTTAGCAGGGAAACAAAATCTCCAACAGCTTCCTGACTTGGCAAAATCCACAGTCACAATAGCTCACAAGCCTAATAGGATCTGAGTTCTCTCTCCTCTCCCCATTGCCTTTCTGACCTCCTCTGCCACTATTCCCTCTCTCTCTTACTTAATGTGGCATACCCATGCCACATAATTATCCTCCTTTCTGTGTCCTTCACCACCACTCTTTATTTGGTTCCAGTCATGGGCCGCATCTGACATGTGGAACTATGGTAGTTGAGCCTAGGATGGAAAACTCTGATTTCAGCTTCGGTGGCCTCCTTGATGCCTTTTTCTCTTCTTCTTCTTCTTCTTCTCCTTCTCCTTCTCCTTCTTCTCCTTCTTCTCCTTCTCCTCCTCCTCCTCCT